CGGGTAACATTGTTGCCTGTTCATTACAGGGTCAAACATTCAGCACATTTATTGAAAAACGGTCATATCAACCAAGTTTATTGAAAAAAGATGATTGTGAGGAGCCTAGCGTCTGGGGGGGGTGATTCGAACCCATGATAATACGTGCAGTGCCTGTGTGCAATCAACGCTAGTAATATGGAAACCCCTTAACTACACTTCTTTTACTCACCCTAGCGAAATTGACGCGTTCATCTACGATGCAACAGTGTTGGACTACTGGACATCCCACGACGACACTTGTAGGTTGAAGACAGTAGGCAACCTCTATGCAATGACCGGTTACGGCATTGCCTTTCCCAAGGGGAGTCGTTGGCTGCAAAAAGTTAACGCTCGTATTTTGGACTACGAAAAAAACGGTAAGCCTGGGTGTTATTTTATTCACATGTTTAAACTTTATGGCAGTGCTATTTTCACGGGATATGAATGTATGCGATGGATATCATGGGCTTAAACACGAATGCTCCAAGCCAGAGATGAAGAACTTTAGATTGCGATGGACTAGCTTTCACTGAAAGGAAGAGCGTACTTCAGGCTTTCAAAGCAGTTGCCGCAAACAGTGTGTATGCCCACTGTAGAGGATCTCAGACCCCACCGTTTGTAGGTCTTTGCTCTTTGGTGTCAAGCAAGGAATTATGCAAGCTGATTGGCTAGTGCCAGGACGCGGATAGCTCCAGCAGCAAATGAACCAGGAGTATGAAGCAGAAAAGAAGGCAATATAACAAGGCTGCATCAGCAGTAATAGCAGAATGCCTCACTACCCCTCCCCCCCCGCTAGACTGAGGGCGGTGTGTAGCGATACCGAAATAAGGATTCATTCTGCATCAGCCGTAGGGTGGCGTGCGAATGTGGAGCTTGAACAGTCGCGACCGTCTGCTGGTCGGCAAGCCTTGAACAGCAATCATAGCTGTCAACAGCGGCTCCTCGTTAGATGTGGAACGAAATAATTGTGTCGATCAGGAGGCCAGCGTTGAAATGAATGAGATAATCCAGTCCACATACAGGTTGGAGAACATTTGTCCTGTGCGCTAAGGGTTGCTCCTGCAGGCGGCCGGACTCAAACTACAGCGTTCGCAGGGGTGCAATTAGATCACGAAAAATTCTTGTCACACATGAAAAAAGCCCTCCCACCTTCAGGTGGACAGATACCTTTAACATTTAGGTGTTCAGGAGTAAAACCTTGAAGGCGATGGAATAAGGGCAAGGGTGCCACCACAGTAACACAAAACCACAGGATCCTGTAATACAGCGCCAGTTTTAAAGGCAATAAATTTGTTTTCTTATGTATAATTTCTTAGGTATTATTTGTTAAGTATATGTAATTTTAATTTATTTTTAAATTAATGCGTGTATTTTTGTTGCTATATGTAAGCTTTTTTAAAATAATTTAATCTTCAACCTCTTTATTTGTTTCCTATATCTTTTTCAATTTATCCTCTTCGCCCCGTAGTGCCTCATCTATATAACTCCCATTGCTATCACTCCCGCATTACAGAATTCTCGGCTTTTGGTCCCCGTGATGATATCCATAATAGACTGTTACCGGGGCAGGTTACATTCGTTTGTGGCTGATGGTTGTGCCATTCGCCTTGCTGTAGTGTCACAACTTTGGTTAAGTAGTACGCGTACGCACATGTTTCGTCTGTGCATAAAAATCATCTGTGATAATTTCTAGCTTTTCCTAACCTCTACTTGTAAAAAAAGTGTTGTTTGCAATAGTTATCACGAGCTATAAGCGGACTGAAAAGTCATGTCCCGATGTCTAGGCTCCTTTAGTAAATTTCAAATTCTCCCTTCTTAACGGTGCATACTATTGACGCAATCTTATTAGAAGAAAGAACGCTTGGGAGTTTTCAATATGCTGAACTAGTGATTATTCTAAAGGTAAAATTTTATTCAAGTGCTTCTCGGTTGTCAGACCCTGTCAATACATAAGCTACATAGGAGCACTCAGATTACAGTTCACGCAATTCTATAAAGGTTTGATAAACACTTTTTAGTGGCGTTAGCTTAGAAGTAACTCTGGATAGGAAAGGCAGCATCGCCCTATTTTGAACATCAGTATGCGGAAACTGCTCCAGAATGATCGTCACTTAAGTTTCTTGAAAACAATAATTTCAGCACTCCCGCGAAGCATATACTTCGATGAGGCTGGCCCTCTAGGTTCGTGTTCGCTTAGCGTAGTTTGTAGCATCAAAATATGTGTTCCTATAAGGTAGGTGGGTTGGCCGAGTTGGGTTAGGCATTTGGCCCAGTCATGAAAATCTCAGCGGCCTCGGTGGGACTCGAGTATACGCCAACAAGGGGAGGCAAGCCTCTAACCAACTAACCTACCGGACCCCCACCGAGAGCCGTTATCTAGACCATTGACTGCGCTAAATCCTTCCGCTTGTTGGCGTGGGGTTCGAATTCTACCGAGGTTGCCGAAATTTTCACAAATGGGTCTCATTAATGTTCGTATTTACTAGAAATTGTTCTTGCAGTCAATGACATGTCAGTAATGTTTAAAGAACGTTAAGGCAGTGCTGAAGACAGTGACCAATTATGGTATATGCCTGCTCATTTTAAGCACGTGACTAAGGAGTGTATTCCAATTATTAAATGCGATGATAAAAGGCCTTTACTGTCGGACCGCTCACAAAAATCAACCAATTTCTATTATACAGGAGCTATATTTTTTCCTAGTTTCGGATCAACAGAAGGAACATAGCGCCTATAACCATTCTCATTTTTTCTGACGAAAAAAATTACGTAAGGGTCTTTTCGATTTCCACTTTTGTCTTTTGCCTCGGTAAGGTAAATTTCAGCGCTGGAAGCAGTTCTGGTTGAGCGGAGTATGCAAAAAGATGAACCTCCTCGGAAACACCAATAAAACTCTGGGCGTCAGGAACTTCATCAGCGCCTTCATCCTTCTGCTCTGTGGAATGATTCTGTGTGCGGTCATTTTCCTCCTGGAACACCTCTTCTACCGCGTTATATGGCCCCGACTGTGGGCGTCTAGGCGGAGAGCATGTTGCCATCTAGAGGTAATTTGGAAGCATTTAACCCTTTTCAAGATCAGTGAAAAATTACTCTAGGAATATAGCTTAATCTCTGGAGTCAACGGACCCCATTTCTAAGATTGCGTGAGGCATGTATGGTTAGTGGTTGGAATATAAAACCACCAGGTCACAGGTTTGAATCCCAGGGATTGCACTTTTGGCATTGGGTATGTTTGGTCGATGGTGATGGTTGATAAACTAGAAATGATTATTCGTGTCTCGTGTTTCTTTACTTGCTATGCTATAGACAATACGGAATGACCAAAAGAGAAAGCGGAGACTGAAATTGCGATGTTTGGCTCATCAGCTGACAGCAGCTAGTCATACCTAACTCCAAGTGATGCTATAGTGAAGTGTTAAGGCTAACACAGTTAACCCTAACAGCTACAATCTTCCT